GTCACTCGCTGGAATCGTATGAATTGAGCCTAAAATATACCAGGAAAGGCATTATTAAATATCCCGAATTACCTAATGACAACGAACGCTGAGAAACCTGAGTAGTCGACCGTCTCAGGCCCTCGAGGTGTGTGCTTTACCATGCATTCAAAGAAACCCTATCAGGTAGCAAGATAGCCAAAACATCGTCCTTTAAAATAGTTCGCGGGAGTATATGCCAAATAGGAGAGAATACCTGATGCCTGTCGTTCGACAACCTTTATGACGACCTCTGTGCTTGTTTCGGAACGTGCTGAGGGCCTAATTTCTTCAATTATCAGCTGAAAGTTATGACGGCCGCCGAGTAACCGAAAGAGATGGTCCTGAAGACCCTGTTTCTGACTTAGAACGGTTGATGAAGGGAGGTTGACTTCAAGACACACGAGCCCGTCCGCCTCAGTGCTTGCAGGTAACACGTTGTATGCGATGCCCCGAAACCGAGAAAAGGGATTTTCCATCGTATATACCACCGCACCGAGCGCGCTATAGCCAGTTCCTGTGCCAAGCATTGCTTGGAGCTGGTTCAGTCTTGTTATTATGTTGTCCCGCTCGTCACCAAAGAGGAGGGGTTGTGACAATGATGCATAGAAGGCGTTGACAGAACTCTGTTGTTGTTGTAGTTGCTGCTGTTGTTGTTGTTGTAGTAGTTGGGTATTTTGGAGGCCTATATAGACCAAATTCAGAGGGAAATTTTCAATATACCAAAGACGACAAAAGCTAATAAGAAAATAAAATCCGCCAGTACAAATAACCGAGAGCCCAAAGTTACATAAAGTACTCGTTCTCTAACCAATGATAATATTAAGAAAGTTCATCATTGTTGAGATGAAGAGAGTCGGCTAGGGAATATCACTAAAGGAACCGAACAGATGAGAGGATTTAAGCCAGCAACAAGTATAAGTTCCGAACGATTGTGGCAATGCAGAGAACTCTTAGGCGACAGGTGCCACGAATTTAAAAACGCATTCAAAGAGACAAATAAGATAAGCACTCCAGGAAAAAGTATCGGTGAAATAGATAATACCTGCTTACCAAACCTAAATCAAACACATTAAGGGCAAAAATCTCGGCCGACCACTTAAGCGGTTATTACTCGAATGTATTTAGCGCGGATACAGAACGCGTCTGTCTGATTAAGAAAAATATCGGTCACCTGCACAGAAAACGATTTATCACTTGTGAAATTGGAGGTATTTTTGCATCATCAACACGACCTCTGTACATGATCACAGGGACAATGGTATGTGAACGGGCAGTAACCCTGATAGCATTCTACTCGCCCAGGGCTAGCCCGGTAGTGGGCTAGTATTGCAATTAACCGGATTTTTTCAACAATCCTAGCGGATAGTAGGTTGACGTGCCCTCTTGGGCGATTTGAGGGGGTTGTAGTCCGAGGCGATTTAAGTCGCCAGACAGGGGCCTTAATTCCGGACAAAGTGCGTGCGTGCGTCCTGCATGCGTGCGTATGCGCAAAGGGACTCCAGCGTGACGTGCAAAATGCACTCGACTGAGCATCAAGGAAGAGGTGTAGCAGAAAAGCTCCTTTCCTCGCACAGATCAAGCACTGTCAGCCAGCCAGGCTACTAGCCCTGCACTAGCTCGCAAGTCAAACGGGCTAGCAAATGTCTAGCCCTGGGCGACTAAATGATATCTCCCATTAATGGGAGACTGTCTCAGAATAGAACGGCGATCTTTAAAGAAGGAAAAGTTTAAGGTAGAGATTGTCATAAAACTACCGAAGGCATTGGCTGTCTGTTGTCCAAGAAAGGATTGTGCTTGGGGAGTAGACTGAAACGAAAATAAGGAGCCGGGTTTTGTAGTGGCTGCGTTTGTCGATGGCGGATTTCCAAACAGCGAGGAAGGTTTTGAAGTAGAAAAACTGAACGCCTGTGGCTTGGAAGAAACGGCCCCTCCGAAAATATTTGTCGTAGATGGAGCTGAGAGACCTCCAAAGGAAAATGTAGATGCCGTGGACGCAGGTTGGGTTCCAAAACCGAAACCTGTAGACGCCGCAGTCTTGGCTGCATTAAAAGAAAACGCGTTCGACGCACTTGAAGCGGGAACTCCGAATGATGAAGACGGCTGTGCACCAAATACAGGCTTGTTTAGTCCAAACATATCTGGAGCACATCAAAAACAAGGACGGACAAGTGGCGCGGAAACGAACAGCACGAAACCTGATCACGATGTTTACAACCAAGAGACCAAAATATATAGTCTGGTTGACGAATACCTTGGCTGACTCAAAATTATGATGAAGAAATCAGGGGTTCAAATTTTGCATTTCTCAGCTCATAGGTGGCTTTGCAAAGGAGTCGAAGGAATTAAAACAAAAGGCAGATAGTGGAGTGTAATCATTAAGAACTATGAAACAAGCTGCGTGACGAGATTGTCTAAGAAGCATGGGTGGAGGAAACTCCAACTCCAGGCTTTTGGCGATGGTTTCAGTCTTTTAACCGTCTTATTTTTAAATTTTTACGTTTCTCCGTCGCAAATATCGCCTAGTCTTTTCCTGTTCTAAGAAATTGCCGAGGTGGCAGTTGTTCACACTCTCCCATCTGAGGCGTCTAACAGATATTTCCCTGGGTAGCATGATTTAAATTTTTTATACGCGTCCTAAAACCCCTTATATACCATGGGTTTTTAATCTTCTCGGCCTTTTCTCTGGGCAATAAGCTTTTAATGCCTGTCCCGTCAATTTGGGTCTCAAAGGACAAATTAATCAAAACACACTGGCAGCCCTATCGTAGGCTGTTTTAGGACGATACCACCTACTAGTAAACGCGATATCCTCAACAAAAATTATATTATCTATTTGTAAAAGTGAATGCAGAGACGACGCATTTTTGCATGAACCAAAGGGTTATTCCATCCTGAACTGCCCAAGGATCCGCGGACACTATTGCGAACGATTCGACCGTGAATTAGGAAACCCCCTCAGAACGGGTAGTATGTCCATCTGGGCCTTATAAATGGTCTGTTATATGAGCTGGATCTCAGACCGACAACTAGAATTCCGAAAATCCACGTGCAACTGTACATTGACGGATAAAGGTTTTTAAAGGGTCAGCTCAATGCCTGTGGCCCATACTATGTCGTCTTTTGAATTCGGTTTGAAATTTCCGACTTCCGAGTGATTTATCGTTTCTGAGTCTCCTGAATGCTGGACACCCTGGCGGCCTGTCGGAATTAACAAGTCGATTCTTTATAGCAATACCTCGATTCTCACAGAATTGTAACGGGAGTTTCGTCCGGCAAACCTATCTCCTTCCGACCACATATCTGACAACCTCACCGCGATACTCCCCAAATACAAGAATGACTGAGCTGTTTGCTATTTACTTCATACCGTTGGCCTCGCTTAAAATCGTTTCCATACCGTTAAAAACGTTTCAAGTTTACTGACTTAATAATGGTAGTCGATTCAGGGTCCTCCAGACATTGGGTGAAAATGCCGCCTCGGGACGGGTTCGAACCTGGGCACGAGAGTGACGTTGAAATTGTCGCTACCTCTACGCCATTGACGCGAAGTAGGCCGTTTGACAACAATGATAAAATAATTGAAATATGCTGTTTAAATGTCTACTGCGATAAGTCTTCTGCTGTCAAATCACCTCCCGCCAAAAGCGCAAGGAGTTTAATAACTATATTGGATGTTAAATACGAGGACGAAACCCACACGTCATTTTTAGACTTCTTCAGAAAATTTTGGAGATGTAGAAGGAAATAAGAAATCTAAGACTTGAGATGGAGAAGCTGACTAAACTTCCTCACCGTTCACGCGAAATGAGAGAAATGGCGATGTCGGAAGTTCAGAAGATGACCAGAAAAAATCCAATACGACCTCAGTAACTGTATTAGTCCCTGAAAAAAAGACAGCCCGTCTACGGACCCAATCACAATCGAGAACCTGTCTCATGTGCGAGTGAAAAATAACCGAAGGGCATCTCAAAAAAACCAGGAGACGTCTCAAAGCATCGCGAAAACGTCTTCCCCAAAGTATAATATTTTCTGCGATTTCCGATCAAATCGCTCAACCGAATTATTAACACACTATAATTCCTACGACAGGACTGATTTCTTCCTTAGTTCAGATGTAAATGTTTGCACTGCAAATCCGTACGAAATTTTGGATCCGCCTATTTCTCGTTTTGTCCCCCGTACAAAAGTATTAATGTTGGGGATGAGGTTTTCCTACCCTTACCCTTTCGTCGCAGATTGCGCAGACTTTATCATCGATTCCATCTTCAGAAGGACGTTTCTGTCCTGCCCTTGATTTGTGATATTTTTGAACGGGCTAAGTGATTGTCTGAAGAAAAACAGCTAGCCGAGGAGATATAGTTTACCGAAAACCTTTCGTTAAGTGTCTCGAAACTTTTCTCTAGAAAAATACGAACTCAAAGAAAGACGTAGCATCCCATCCTCCGAGACGCTCTCGGAAATCCCATAGTTGATGCCCAGTTAACCGCTGATAGCTTCAATGATTTCCTGTCCAAAACGTTCATTAAGGACTCGACCACTCCGCTTCCGACCATCCAGGCACCGACTGGGGCAGTCCTAGAAACTATAACTCTCACTCTGTGGGATGACACTGTTGCGTTTCGGCGCTTTCGTCAATCTTATAGTCCAGGACCTGATGGTGTCCCAGTAAGCATTTCAAAAGCCGATGCAAATACGATTTTCCCATCCATCGTATGCATGATAATTAATCTCACACTTGAAAGTGAAACTTGTGGAGGGAATCACACATTTTGTCCATTCCTAAGCACGGCAAATCTACATCATTTGATGATTTTCGGCCAATAAACACCCTCCCCGCAGTTTCGAAGATCTTAGAGACATTGATCAAAGAGAAGGTGATGTGTCACCCAACAGAGAATAACTTACTGAGTGCTGCTCAGCATGGATTTCTCAAAACTCGATCTTGTGACACCTGTCATCTCTCTTTCTTTGACTATGTTCTCCAATCTAGGGACAATAGTTTTGCACTTTACACAGCATATTTCGATTTCACTAAGGCTTTTGATCGTGTTGACCATGCTCTTCTTCTCTTGAAACTGTCCTCTTTCGGAATAGGTGGCAAACATTTAAATTTTATATCCTCTTACCTGGACACTCGTACACAACGCGTTAAGATTTCCAATACTATCTCCAACCCCACACGTCTGAGGAGTGGAGTCATTCAGGGTAGCGTACTCGGCCCGCTTATATTTTGCCTTTTCGTTAATGATGTACCCGATTTATTCAACAATGGTAAGCCTTTCATGTATGCCGATGATTTCAAAGTTGCATATCGATATCAGCCGACAGATCGTGACATCGTGCTTGAGGTCCTAAAGATCGACCTACAGGCTTTTGCGCAGTGGTGCCGCACATGGCGCCTTTCTCTCTCTTGGCATAAGTGCTCAGTCATGGTGGTTGGCGACGACCGCCAAACTCAACTAAGTATTGAAGGTCACGCCATAAATATGCCTGGGGTTATCAAGGATCTGGGCGTATCATCCTCCAAGAGCCTCAATCTCTCGGAGCACTGTGTCTTAGTAGTCTCCAAAGCACGTACAACGATCTGGTTTATCTTCCGAAACTTTAAAACTAGGGACATTAGAATGCGCCTTTACAACATGTACGTTAGACCTGGTCTGGAATACGGTTCGTTTTTATTTAGCCTCATGCGTGCTACTGAGCGGAAGAAAATAGAATCCGTTCAACACTTTTTTACCAAGAGAATTTTAACCCCAGTATACCGACATTTGTCTTACCAAGAACGTTGCCGGCTTACGGGCCATGATCCTTTATGGTTCCGTAGATTGCCAAAGGGGACTGTTCTTGCTATTTAAACTCTTATATAATCACACATTTAACCCACTCACCTCATTAAGACACCATGTCCACCCACAACGTAACAGTCACCGTGAGGTCTTTTTATTTCTTCCTCTGGCACGTACTGTTTAATATCTTCGGTTCTTTTCTGTAAATGCAAATGCTATTTGGAATAAACTACCCATGAGTGTGAAATATCTGAAAAATTATCCTTTATTTTGGAGAACTACTACTCGATTTTTGCATTCAGAGGATCCCTCACAAATTCTGGGTGCTGAATCCACTGATCGACTCTACCGTAGCGATGGCGTTTGTGGTCTCTGAAAACTATGGCCGGTCTCATCAGGGACAATTTCGTTGGCCAACATTGACACCTGTTCCTCAACTCCTCTTCCTTGACTACTCCTAACTTCATGAAAGGAATTGACGTCCGATAATCTCCGATATGGTTCAACCCTCCCCCCTTTTTTTGACGGTCGAATATCTGCCGCCAGCAATTTTTTCTCCTGAACCCTCCAAACCATAAAACCATCATCAACTACACTTTTATTCCTTGTCCACAGGAGGTTTCTTCACTGCTGGTCGGTTTTGTGTTAACGCTTCCCTTGACAATGCCTGTAAACTGGTATTAAATAAAATTATCATTATCATCACTATCATTTGTCTGCTTGCGGAAGGTTAATAATCATTAACTAATTTACGCATATTTCGAGGGTCAGGTCACCTAACGTAGGCGGATTTGCACTGGGACAATGATGGATCAGGACTATGGATGAAGTTCAGAGACTTTCTTTCTGGCACAAGCTCGCCAAGCCCACTCTGTTCTGTCGGGGCTATGAGGTGGCCATCCGACCTGTGGGTGGGGCTGTGGTGTGGCGTACAACCGGCAGCCCACTCTAGCCTCGCTACCGCGAAAAATCAGCGCATGGGACGCCTGCTTATCGTCAGTTTTGACACCCCTTAACGATGTCGATTTTGGCGTGTGCAACGTATCCCCGGGACACTTTACTGTGTCGCCCTTAAATATGGCACATCGAGAGCCCGGAACGTTGTGCTCCAGAGGACCTCAGATTTCTAACTATAATAGGTTAATGGCGTCATGCGCGTCCCCCACTATTTCGCACGGTGTAACAGACACGAGTACATATTCAGGGTAAGATTATTTTATTAAATACAAATAATGAAAAACCTGTCGATGAATATGTACGATGAGAACGAATGTTTCCAATGGTTACAGCTCCATGGAATCATTGTGCAAAGCGTTAACTTTGAAAATGGATTCATCTTCCATGGCTGAT